TGCTCATACACCCACATTTCTCTCTCATCTTGCACGTAGCCGTAGCATGGGCCTGTTGCCCCTCCAATGTATGATGTTTTTGTATTGGACATTGCAGTTCTCTGGCACATACAAGTTTCATTAATAAGAAATAAGAAGATTTGGTGTGAAAAGTGTTAAAATATTGTAAAAAAACAACAACCCAAAACCAGATGGCTTGATGCAAATAAGGTGAAAATGCCACAAAAATGCAGATCTTGCAGGAATTCAGAGTGCTTATTCATCCAGGGGCAGCTTGTAAGCAGATTTATTGAAAGCATGATGGATTTGGGAAGTCTAATACTGAAGTCATTAAGCAGCAGAGTTTGCAAGCACAAACAAATGCTTCCAAAAGGCTGTCTCACTGTGCTGCAGCTAACCCTTGTAAGAAACTAAGGAAGTGGTAATTTGGGTTTGAAAGTTTTACGTCTTCAAGAAATGTCATTCTTAAATATTTCAGTAATTATGTTTGTGATGCAATAGGGATTTGAAGGGTAGTATTTACATAATCTGTCCAATTCACTAATGGGCATCTTGTGAGTTAAAATTATGATGTGCTGCTTAAATGGAACAGCTTGCCTGCAAGAGATAAGCTGACTTTAAAAAGCTGCCCAGTTACTTGAAAAAGGATGCTGTGCAGTTGTAGAAGGAGTGCTTTGCACAATCACCACCAATACAAGGTGGGCTACTTTTCAGTAAGAAATACTTTAAATTCAGGTAGGTAGCAGTTGAAATAAAAATAAAAATAAATTGTCTAGTAGCCACCTTATAGACCAGGGGTAGGCAAACTAAGGCCCGGGGGCTGGATCTGGCCCAATTGCCTTCTCAATCCGCCCACGGATAGTCCGGGTATCAGTGTGTTTTACATGAGTAGAATGTGTCCTTTTATTAAAAATGCATCTCTGGGTTATTTGTGGGGCCTGCCTAGTGTTTTTACATGAGTAGAATGTGTGTTTTTATTTAAAATGCATCTCTGGGTTATTTGTGGGGCATAGGAATTCAATCATTCCCCCCCCCCAAAAAAAATATAGTCCAGTTCTCCACAAGGTCTGAGGGACAGTGGACGGGCCCCTTCTGAAAAAGTTTGCTGACCCCTGTTATAGACCAACTAAGTTTGTTCTGGTATACGCTTTCGTGTGCATGCCCACTTCTTCAGATACACAGTGTATCTGAAGAGGTGTGCATGCACATGAAAGCTTACTAGACAATTTTTTATTGTACTTTAAATTGTCAGGCTTTTTTCATTAGGTAGGTAAAAATTCTATAACTTAGAGTAAGGACTTCACAATCCATGACTGGGCAATACCTTTATTAGAACCAAACAAAATGTCACGCATTTACGGCAAACGGTTGAGTTCTCCAGATTTTATTACTCAAGGCAATATACTACTCAAATACTTCATTATCTACATAAATGTGATTGGAAGGACAGACCAGGACTATAAGTACACAGTTTCCCGTGAAGCTGGTGGGACAAATCAGCTGTGAATTAAGTCTCCTATGATTTCATTGGGAACTAACTGCCACTATCCTTATTATTTATTAAATTTATATCCTGCCCTTCTTCCCCAAAGAAGTGCAGGACCTCAAACACACAAACAATAAAACATATGAAACATTTAGAAACAAGTCCAATGCAGACTGGAAAGATCTTTGCATACAAGGCTTGTTGGAAGAAAAAGACCTTCAGCGGGTGCTGGAAAGACAGCAGAGAGAGTGCCTGGCTAATATTCAAGCAGAGTGAATTCCAAAGTGTGGATGTCACAACTTAAAAAGCCCAGTTCCTACATTGGGTGGAATGGACCTCCTGATAAGATGCTGTCACCTGCAGAGTGCAGGGATTGATGGGGTATCCATCAGGTATCCAGTTTCCCTAGGTTCATTTCAGGTCTCCAGCTGTATAGGTCTGTATACACCAAAACCAGCACCTTGAACTTAACTAGCATATCCTGAGTCCAGCCCTTCATCAGTTTCAAGTCACAGCCGGACCTCGCTTGTGTAATATTTTACCATCTAGCTCTTAATGGTTCCACTGTCAACACTAAAACTATACCTGGATCCCACCCCCCTCAAGGATTCACATCCAAGACTTTTCATAAGCAAAAAGGAATTAATGCTCAATTAACCGACTGCTGGCACTAGATTGTAAAAGTCAGATAATTGAATCTCTTTCCCTCCTGTACAGCTGGCTGAGCAGTCACCTAAGGAGAGCCAATTGACACCGTGTAAACTGAACTGTAATTGAAAGCATGCTTTTAAATTAAAGTTGTCATTTCTAAGGCTGTTCCTAGTGATGGTCACATTGGTGCCAATTGAGATCATTTGCACAAACAGAGGAGCTTCCTGATGAGAAGCAGCCTGAATCTGCTATACTGTAGTTAGAGGATGCTTTCGTGGAAAACATTCTTGAATTATCCTTCCAGGGACCAGCTTGTGTCCTGCGATGTTCACCTTGCTGGCTAGGGCTGTTAAAAAAAACTTCAGATGAGCTTAACAAACACAACAGCATATTACTGATGCGGAAACACACAGTGCTCTGCTTTTTCTGACTTCCAAACCCTGATTCTGACAGATATACTGCCAGACAGAGCTGCCTTCCTCAGCCTGGTGCCATCCAGATGTTTTGGACCACAACTACCATAATCCTTGGCCATTGACTGTGTTTGCTAGGCTCAATAGGAACTGCAGGTTGAGGAAGGGAGACCTATCCTTTTAAAAGAACCCAAGATGCACCCTGTTGAACTGTCAATTGGAATTTTTTATGTCCCATGTTTTAGCTATCATTAGAACTGATTTTCACATGGGGGGGGGGTTGTATGTATTCCATACTGAAGGTATGCAAGAACAACATGAGAGAATCTAAACCACACAGGATAGATCATGTCCAGTTCTTCAAAGGAGTCCTGGTTTGTTTCCCCAGAAGGAGTTTTCTGCCGGTGCAGAACTACTGAAGAAAGCCTGGCAGTCTCTCAATTGGGATGTCTAAATTGCAAGGACGGATAGCACTTAGAAAGCACTTCTGGGCTGCTTGCATAACCTCCAGCTACGATAACACTTGCGGAGCCTCGACACGAAGAGTAGAGTGCTCTTATTACATTTCCCATTCCCCAAGTCCCTAGTTTTGTTGTGTGTTTGAGACCAGGATCTAATAATCAAATATTCCCTGGGGGAAATGGCACTAATTAACAATGCATCCCTGTGCCGGTTTACTCAGAAGACGATGCCACCTCATACAGTGAGGTTTATTCACTAAGAAGATGTATGTTGAGGATTGAAGCCTGATTTATGGAACAGAAAGACCTCAAAGGCTGGTGTTGACCATCATACAGAGAGATGAATAGTGATTCTGAAATGTCGTAAGCATTTGAGAATTAAATGTTGCTACTTCTAATTGCAGGGACGCGGGTGGCGCTGTGGGTAAAATCCTCAGTGCCTAGGACTTGCCGATCGAAAGGTTGGCGGTTCAAATCCCCGCAGCGGGGTGCGCTCCCGTCGCTCGGTCCCAACGCCTGCCAACCTAGCAGTTCGAAAGCACCCCCGGGTGCAAGTAGATAAATAGGGACCGCTTACTAGCGGGAAGGTAAACGGCGTTTCCGTGTGCTGCGCTGGCTCGCCAGATGCAGCTTGTCATGCTGGCCACGTGACCCGGAAGTGTCTGCGGACAGCGCTGGCTCTCGGCCTATAGAGTGAGATAAGCGCACAACCCTAGAGTCTGCAAGACTGGCCCGTACGGGCAGGGGTACCTTTACCTTTTACCTTACTTCTAATTGCATTCTTCAGTTAGATCTATATCTCCTTAATCCTGTACAATTTGTTTCTATTTCTTTGAAATATCGCTTGGGAAGGGGACTTCATTTCCCCTCAGAACCAGTGGAGCTGTAATAATAATGATAAATGTAAACATTATGGATCAAATGACTTGATTGCATTTCCTACCTTAAAAGGAAAACCTAGGTTGCGACCACGTTACATGTTAAAAATGGAAGTCTTGGCTTGGGTTCCCCACTCTGTGTGACATGCACTACAACTTACCCTCGCTCTGGGTTCCATTACATGGCCTGATCCTCCCCACTCCACCAGCATCCCTGCCAATGTGGAGAAGAGCCAGTATCTAACTAAGTCACACTCAGAGTAGACCCAGTGAAATCCATGCACTTAAGTCGGTTGATTTCAGTGTGCCTACTCTGAGTTTGACATAGTCAAATACGATGCAATGGTGTCAGGTAAATTGTGGGAGTGAGAGGAAGAACTGCATGCTTCCATTCTCAGCAGCAGCTCTGAACTTTGTGTAATACTTCTGTATAGATACTTATTGGAAATAAAACAGAAAGTAAAAAAGAAACAATGTGAACGAAGGCAAAGATATTACTAAAATTTACTTAAAATTACCAAACAAGGTTTTACCAAAACTTTTCAAAGAAAGTATTTCATCCAACAATAGTGTTTTACAAACCTATTGCGGAAAGATTTAAGAAACCATGCAAGTAAATATGGAATTATTTATTTGCTGTGTAGATGACTGCTTGGTCCTGGTTAATATCCTGTTCCAACTCACTGTCTATTTTTAATCGTGTTTTTAATACTCTGTTGGAAGCCACCCAGAGTGGCTGGGGAAGCCCAGCCAGATGGGCAGGGTATAAGTAATAAATTATTATTGTTGTTGTTGTTGTTGTTAAATTTTAACCTCACAGGGAATGTGGCATAGCCTGTGTATTCAGTTTTGGCATCTTCCAGGTGGGGGCAGGGGGAGGGAGATGCTTCATCTTGCCAAAAAGCATGAATTATTATTTTTTAAAAACAACAACAACACAAACTCATCCCCTGTCTTTAAGAAACTATAGAGGTTTCAGAAAGAAAATGTCAGGTAATTAGTCAAGGCAGCACTTTAGAGCTGCTGGTGAAAACAAATTTATATTGCAGGAGTTGTATTGCTGTGATTTCAATGAAGTCTTAATTACTTCTGCTTATAATTTCCCTGGCAGGTACATTTACATCCCGATGGGAGGATCCCGCAGCAGCATCTTGAAGATGCTGTTCTCCACAGCAATCACGTTCGCTTTTGTAAGCTATTGGCACGGCGGCTATAGCTACCTTTGGTCCTGGGCGATACTTAATTGGCTTGGAGTAGCGGCCGAAAATGGAGTGAAGAGGCTGGTTTCTCTTCCAGCTGTCCGTGACTTAATTGTAAGTTCATTGGCTTTCATGTTTGTAATGCTCAGAACTGTGTTTAGGACTAGAGACTTCAGGTGGTTCAGTGCTGTCAGAACGCGCCCACCTGCTGGACTCGAGTTTTGGGATTGGCAACTTTCTAGAGCTACATAATACAGAAAGTGGTTGTGCTGTGAAATACAAAGACAACAAAAGGTAATTAAAAGTCCTTAAGGTCATCCAGTAGGGGATTTTACTTTGCTTAGCGATCTTTAGAAATTTAGTGCAGCTGTTTGTTCATTTATCTGAAGTTGCTAGACTTCAATTCCCACCACTCCCAGCTAGCATGGCCAATTGTAACGGATATTGGGTGTTGTAGTACAACAACATCTGAAGGGCACTATGTTGGCCACCCCGATTTAGTGCAAAGGAAGTTATTTGGGTCTCTTGTCTGCCTGTATCTCATAGCTTGGTAAGTTATATAATAATAATAATAATAATAATAATAATAATAATAATAATAATAATAATAATAATTTATTATTTATACCCCACCCATATGGCTGAGCTTCCCCAGTCACTCTGGGCGGTTCCCAATCGAGTCTCAAAAACAATACAGCATTAAATATTAAAACCTTCCCTAAACAGGGCTGCCTTCAGATGTCTTTTAAAGATAAGATAGCTGCTTATTTCCTTCATATCTGAAGGGAGGGCATTCCACAAGGCGGGCACCACTACCGAGAAGGCCCTCTGTCTGGTTCCCTGTAACCTCACTTCTCGCAATAAGGGAACCGCCAGAAGGCCCTCGGCGCTGGATCTCAGTGTCCGGGCTGAACGATGGGAGTGGAGACGCTCCTTCAGGTAAACCGAGGCCATTTAGCACCAACACTTTGAATTGTGCTCAGAAACGTACTGGGAGCCAATGCAGATCTCTCAGCATCGGTGTTATGTGGTCCTGGCGGCCCTTCCGAGTCACCAGTCTAGCTGCCACATTCTGGATTAAGTTCAAGGGAGAAACCTAAAAGGCAAGTATCTTGAATGAGATCTTCTGTGCTAGAAGCCCTGCTAGTGAGACAGAAGCGTACACATGCTCAACAGCTCAACCCCTTCAGTGTTGGTGGTGAAGCTTCACCCGCCAAGTGCAATTCAATATAGATTCTTGCTATGTGAGTATCAAATCCTTTTGTGCAAATCCCATCTTCTCTCACTGGGTGCTTCTAGGCAGCCTGCTTATTGAATATTCATCCTCGTTTGTTTGCGAGAAGATTAGATGACATCAGCTATTTAATGAGCATTCATTTTGATTTGTTTGCGGGGAGATTAGGTGAAGTTGCATCAAAGCAACTTGTTATTGCACACTTTCCAGTGCATTTGTACAGCCATATTCCCACCAGTGTATTGAACATTGTACTCATCTCCCCACCTCCTTGCCCCCTTTCCACTCTTCCTCCTGGAGCCAGCATGGTGTAGTCGTTAAGAGTGGTGGACTCATAATCTGGTGAACTGGGTTTGCTTCCCCGCTCCTCCACATGCAGCTGCTGGGTGAACTTGGGCTAGTCACACTTCTTTGAAGTCTCTCAGCCTCACTCAGCTCACAGAGTGTTTGTTGTGGGGGAGAAAGGGAAAGGAAATTGTTAGCTGCTTTGAGACTCCTTCGGGTAGAGATAAAGCGGGATATCAAATCCAAACTCCCTCCTCCTCCTCCTCCTCCTCTTCTTTTTCTTCTTCTTCTTCTTCTGGTAAACAGCAATGACTCTGCTGCTGGGAGGTCAAATAAGCATCACGACCCCCCCCCCCGAGTTGTGCTTTGCGCTTCTGGGGCAATTTAGGGAGGGATATAATCTGTCCTCCAGCCTGCTTTCCAGAAAAGCACTAGCAAAGCACTTGCTACGAGACAACCAAGAATCTTCCTAGTATTGGGTCTCAGGCAGAATTGAGAGGCATCCCGGCATAATATCCAACCTTCCCCACTGAAGAGCATACCGGAAGCGGATGCGAAAACTACCCTACCACACACAATCCACCCCAACACACAAGGATAGTTTGCATTTGTAAAAGTCACATTTGCATAACGAATGCTCTTCTCTTGGTATGCACCTGGATTTTCTTCTGTAAATTGCATTCCCTTTTGAAAAGTTCATGTCCATTCAAGCAACGAAATGTGTGTCAACCAACTGCCAGCACAGCAGCTTCCTTTCCTGAGCACTTAGTCTGAATGCAGAAAGTACAGGCGCAAAATAGGCACACAAGTTCAAAGTGCTCCATTTAAATGATACGCAGGAAACCATTTGCAGAGGAATGAGAGTAGCTTGCGTCAAAAACTCATTTGCATTATGAGTCAGATATTATTGAATGTTGATGTCATCACGGACCATTTTAAAGCAAACTTGAACACCTTTGAAAAATGGATGAAAGAAATTTGTGAAATATAAGGTGGGGGTTGGAGGCTCTCTACTTCAGTGGTTTCAATCTCGGTAGTGGCACCTGCCATGTGGAACGCCCTCCCACCAGATGTCAAAGAGAACAACAACTACCAGACTTTTAGACGACATCTGAAGGCAGCCCTGTTTAGGGAAGCTTTTAATGTTTGAGACATTACTGTATTTTAATATTGTATTGGAAGCTGCCCAGAGTGGGGAAGCCCAGCCAGATGGGCAGCTTATAAATGAATTATTATTATTATTATTATTATTATTATTATTATTATTATTATTATTATTCCTACCTCCAGGACCATTTCCAGCAAGTAGTGAAGGGGGCAGCAGCACTGTTCAGCACCATGGAAGTTGTCCTGTGGTGTCCACTACGGTTCCATCTTGTCCCTCATATTATTTGACATCTATATGACACCTCTGGAATCTGTCATCAGAGGATTTGGAGCAAGGTGTTGTTAATATGCTGACAACACCCAGCTTTATCTCTCTGTTCCATCTGAATTGGGAGAGGTGGCTGAGGTGTTTTAAGGCACCGATGGTTTGCATGTGGGCCAATAAATCAAAGCTCAATCCTGAAAGACAGAGGTGTTACATGTACCGAGTTCTCAAGTCTGGGAGATAGAGAGACAGCCTGTCTTGGATGCGGTTGTACTCTGCTGGAAGGAGCAAGTCTATAGCTCGGGAGTGCTCCTGGATTTAACACTGTTACTAGAGTCTCAGGTGGCCTTGGTGGCCAAAACTGCTTTGTCTGCCCCTTTGGGGCAGAAATGTTGATATTTCATGTTTGGTAACTTCCAGATTGGACTATTGCGGTGCACCCTACATTGGGTTGCCCTTGAAAACGACTTAGAAACTTCAAATGATCGAGTGCTCTTTGCTTTAAGATATATTTTTAGGGTCCACTCTAGTTGTGCCTGTGATTTGTCTAATCATGATATCTGTATATTATTACCTCCTGGATCAGAGAGAACATGGCAGTTCCTTAACTGGGGATCATGAGTAGGGGGCAGCCATTTCAGTTATGTCCTGCTGGTGGGCTTCTCAAAGCTCTGCGGTTGGACATTGTGGAAATAGAATACTGGACTGGATGGGACTTTGGTGTAATCCAGCAGGTTTGTCAGTCAGAAAACATAATGGTGCATGCAGAGTGTGATTGGACAATGAAACAAATGGGCAGTCCCTGCTTCCACAGGGGTACATGAGCAGCCCTTGTGTGTACACTACAGGTTAGAAGGTCTGTATCAGTTCATATACTTTTTTTTTCTGGGTAAGCCCATTTGGTGGCTTCCATATACATTAGATTCTCCATGCAAGCATCTAGAGCAGGGGTCAGCAAACTTTTTCAGCAGGGGGCCAGTCCACTGTCCCTCAGACCTTGGGGGGGCTGGACTATATTTTTTTTTGGGGGGGGAGAACGAATTCCTATGCCCCACAAATAACCCAGAGATGCATTTTAAATAAAAGCACACATTCTACTCATGTAAAAACACCAGGCAGGCCCCACAAAAAACCCAGAGATGCATTTTCAATAAAAGGACGCATTCTACTCATGTAAAAACACACTGATTCCCGGACCATTCGTGGGCCGGATTTAGAAGGAGATTGGGCCGGATCCAGCCCCCGGGCCTTAGTTTGCCTACCCGTGATCTAGACTTAAGCAGATACCCTGTGTAGGTACATTGCACATGCTCTTTCAGTCATGGGGACTGGAACTCAATTCTGTGTGAAGTTCAGCAGGCTCTGCCCCTTGACAGCATTTAAGCAGCTCTTAACAACCATACTGGGATGCGGGTGGCGCTGTGGGTTAAACCACAGAGCCTAGGACTAGCCGATCAGAAGGTCGGTGGTTCGAATCCCCGCGACGGGGTGAGCTCCCGTTTCTCAGACCCTGCTGCTGCCAACCTAGCAGTTCGAAAGCACGTCAAAGTGCAAGTAGATAAATAGGTACCGCTCTGGCGGGAAGGTAAACAGCGTTTCCGTGCACTGCTCTGGTTCGCCAGAAGCAGTTTAGTCATGCTGGCCACATGACCCGGAAGCTGTGCGCTAGCTCCCTCGGCCAATAAAGCGAGATGAGCGCTGCAACCCCAGAGTCGGTCACGACTGGACCTAATGGTCAGGGGTCCCTTTACCTTTACAAACAATCATACTGCTGCTTTTCATCACTAATCTGGTTGTGGCTGTGGGTTGTTTTTTCCTATGGGGGAAAAATGGTCGTCTGTCACGGATGCTTTAGCTAAGATTTCTGCATTGCCAGGGGTTGGACTAGATGACCATTGGTTCCCTTCCAACTCTTAAGATTCTATGAGTTTATAATCATGTTCGTTCATGCTGGCTTTAGTAACATTTTGCACTGTTTTGAAATGTCTGCATTTAACTTTGTTTTAAAACTGCGCTATGCTTTATATGTTCATGTGTGTGTTATTCTTTTTATAAAGCACTCTGGGTAGCACTGGGTTTGAAAATCAATCTGTAATTTATTTTAAATGAGTAAAAATATAATTAAATAAATCTTCGTGCCGGAAGAGCAATCCCCAGCAGACCAGAAATAAAAAGAACCAGGACACATACCACTTTTACAGCAGTAACATTCCTGCACTGAGT